TATTATTTCTCGAGACAAAAATAAGTACAATACCTAATATAATGGGAGCGGGTCATGTCTTCGAATGTCATGTGTTCGAAGGTCGTGTTTTCGAATGACGAGTGTTAGAAAAGTTATTTGTTCGAATAGTAATGTAATCGAAAAATTATTTGTTCGAAAAATATATGTTCGAAAAGTTGTATATACGAAATATTATTATTTTATTTTTAAACGTAAATTTTATCGACGTACCCGATTAATATCGTTGAATAAAAGTAATAAAGATAATAGATAGTAGATAGTATACAACAAAACGCGATTGTAGTCTGTACTGAAGCTTAGTTTGTTGCGAATTTAATACGTTTTATGTAATTTGTCTTTTTATTTGAATAAAATGTGTTCTATAGAAGTTATAAAAAGTATACTCGGAGGTAAAGTATTAAGTGTAAATAATTTTTTATACATATTAAATGAAAATTATAAAAGAAAACGCGATATCGAAAAGTTTTTTACTGGACATGTTCAACTAAATGTGTAGCAAAAATTTGTACTGTTGAAACATCGAATGGAGAAGACGAAATCGACGAGTTTTCTACATTTTCAGAAGATCAACACTCTCACACAGCGGACCCAATTGCTATTGAAGCAAAAAAAAAAATTAAAGAAAATATTAAACAGCAAGCATTAACATCAAATGTTGAAATACCTATCCAAATATTCTATGCAGCTATATCGGGTACTACAAAAACTATTTCATCGCATATTACTCAAGAATCAGCAAAACAAATTGTCAAACGTCAACTTCGTATTAACCTAAATCAAAACGAACCCGAAACAATTTATTCAATAGATCCTAAATAGTCATTATGTACAACATTATCTGGAAAATATTTTTTAGTAAAAAAAACCGAATCTGTTTTATTGTTTGCAACAAAAATAAAGGTGGTCATCAAATAAAGAAAAAGAAATATGGTGTGGACCGCAATATGAGATTGCAATCAATTCAACAGCGAATAATCGACAATCCTAAATCTTGTAAATTAGAGTTTTTAAAAGCAATTGCATATAATTTAAGTTTTTAATTATTGATTTATAACTGCATAGGTATATTATTCCAAATATATTTTTTTTAATTTTATGTTTATTAATTTTTATAATATTAGATAGCTTTTTAATTTAAATAAATAATTTTCGTACATACAACTTTTCGAACATATATTTTTCGAACAAATAATTTTTCGATTACATTACTATTCGAACAAATAACTTTTCTAACACTCGTCATTCGAAAACATGACCTTCGAACACATGACATTCGAAGACATGTACCCCACCCAATATAATGGGGTATAATTTTTAATGGCAATCTAAAATATTAAATAAACGCACTGCAGCCCTAGGATTATATTAAATATATTATTATAGTTTCAGCCTTAATTAATGATCTTTCTTAATATTGGCGTTCATATATTATATGAAATAGGAAATTTCTCACTGTAATAATGAATACATAATTTGTATCGAAGTGTGTATGGTTATAATTCGTCAAAACACCAGCAATATCTTCACATACCATTATTTTATCATGAACTACTCATTATTTCAAAAAGTATAAATGTTTTTGAAAAAAAAAATGTCTACGTGGTTTCTAGTCGTTGAAAAGCAACATTAAAAATAACATTTTTAATATATTTTATCCTTATGTTTTTTAAAGACAACATACAGTTTTTATTTCATATTCCAAAGCAGAATATTTTTCTAAATATTTCGATACATAAAAATTGAATTTAGGACGAGTATTATATGAGTTGGGCTTAAGCATATTTTAAAGTTTATATGAGCGGAGTAGTAGTGGATCAACATTTTTTGGGGTAACCACGTACCACTCCATCCGACTCCTCTTTTATACTTTAAATACTTATAACTCATATAAATGTCTAGTCTTAAATTCGAAATACTCAAAAAAATATTCTGCTTTCGAAGGTGAAATTAAAACCGCATGTCGTCATTCAAATAAGTTAAAAAATATAATTAAAAAGTGGTACTCACACAAGGATTTTGAGATTCACGATGGAAATTGACTTTTTTTTGGTCACCACTGGTCAAAGATTATATAATGGTAATAGTATAAATTAGTTTTTTTTTGTGCATAAATTATTGCAGTATTGGTTTCTCGGGTAGTTGAGATAAAATCATCGTTGTCGTGTTTGTGGCCTCGAATAAACAAATATTATAGTTTATTTATAAAATTATTATTCTAGTTAATGTTTATTGCCTTGGACTTAAAAATTACTCGACCGATTTTGCCAAAAATTTCAGAGACCGTTTTTGAACTTTTAAAGATATCATAAAAGTTTAGAGTGTAGTTTGAAATACGTTAGGAAATATATTATCAACCGAACTTACCAAGATACATTGATATAACGCAGTTTTTTTATATAATTGATCATTTTTTTTTCCCAGACGAAGTTGGGTTATACAACAAGTATAATATATTAAAAAAAGTTGAATTTTACTTTTTTTTTTATCAAAGAGGAACCTAATGAAAAAAATATGTAAATACAAGTTTTTATTGAACATACACATTCAACTACAAATTCCGTTAACTTTGTGTTAAGTGATAGCATTTTTTTAGTATTAAATTAAAATTGTTTCAAAAAGTTCGGAAAAACTATAAGTTGTTACATTATAATATAAGTAAGTAGTATGTTTCAATGTTGCGAATACAATAAAAAACTTACCCTCAACCGAAATATTATAAAGTTTACGTACCTGTATGATTATAAACAATGTCATTTGGAGCAGTGAAGCCTTTAAATACCGGATACTCTCTTTAATTTCGTCCGCTATTCGGAGGTGTCCGGTACTGAGAGGGTTTAACTTGTAAAGAGGTTATAGTTTTTTTCAGAAAAATATGTCCGCTATTTGGAGGTGTCCGTTAGGGGAAGTTTCAGTTGCACGTAATAGCTGTCTCCATTATATAATGTATTGACCTGTATACTATAGTACCTATATATTTTTTTTTCAAAATCTCTGCAACTAGCTTTATTCCTGAAAAAATATTGCAGACAATTTTATATTAATACTGTGTCGGTGATTCAATTAAAATCTACTGTAGTCACGAATGAGCCGGGGTAGTGACCACGAATGAGGACGTGACCCTCAGGTCATAGAGAAACACTGCATGTCTAAACAACACGTGATATAGGTAATAATACACTGGCAACTATAAACAATTTACGATTTTATTTTTAAATTTCAATAAAACAATACATTTATAAAAGACTTTAAAAGACAAACATGTTTTATTATAATACTAGATTCGGGCGTTTTTCATCCCACCTACGGCGGAAAGACTGTGTGGGCGGTGGTGCATCTTTGTCGTTTCGCCTCGGGCTGGGTTTTTTGATCCGGCCTGCGCGGGAACGCGGGGTCGTCGGGTATTGTGTTTTGTCGTGTTGGCAGCACTGGTTAAGCGGTAATTTTTGAACTTAGTCGTAAGTCAGGCGATTCAAGTCGATCGTACGACACAGCCAGCCAGGTAGGCCATCCGAGGATCGCAGACGACGCCCCGGGCGTGTATGTCCGGTTCTGGAGTGTGTGTGTTGAAATCAGAAATTCGGATTCTGAGTTTGAGTGTCTAGCTATCAGTCATCTCGGGTGAAAGACGATTCCCGAACGGACAATCCGCCTAATAAGCATTTAAAGTTGGAATTTTGACAAAATTTATCAAAATCTCGAAAATTATCAATCATTGTAATTAATAAATTATAAAATGTTCAGTTTTTATAGCTAAGGATTGCAAATTTAAAACAAAGGTTCTCATAAATAGTTCATACTGTAACCAAAAAATCTAAAAAATATATGAACATAGTTATTTTTTACAGACATTTTAAATTCAAATTTGGACAAAATTACATATTAAAAAACCTAGAATAACTATATTTTAGTTGTTTTGTTGTGATTGAATAATATTATTCGTGGGTACTTGAAACTTTTAAAGTGTACTATTATATATCTATAATATATGATAGTATCACGGTTTTTGTTGATGTTTAACGCGTTATTAGTACCTAATGGATATTGTGATATGATTAATTTGGAATTTATTATAGGTACCTATTATAGGTCAAATGTTGGTTTAGTACCATAGATAATATGTCTTATACCTAGACTGACATACCATCTCCGCTCAGAATCGTTTTTCTTATACAATGATATTATATCTTTGAATTCAAATTTAATATCATCCATTATACAGTGACCCACTTGTAACCTACTGTACAGAAGAGCGACACTCACTTGCCCACCTTTTTTTTTAATGAAATCAGAAAAATACAATAGTTAGTAATGATATAATATTATTTGTAGATACTCTTAAACTATAGGTATAGCGAAAAACGATAGAGACGTACACCACCCACCCACCAGAATTAAGAAAATCGTAGTTTCCTATGCTGATTAATGACGTAAGAAAAACCACGGTTTTATAATTTAAGGTGGAGGTTGATTGTACGATGCTTACAGTACTTACCTACTCATAATCTAATAAAATATTGATTCCATGCCACTGTAACTACTTAATTCCACTTTATTTGAATACCAAACAATGTGTGCATTTATTTTTTTAGTGTAAAATATTTAAAAGTAAGTCAAATCAAAGGTATTTAATAACTAATATATTGTATAGTTTACTACATTTTTAAAATATTTTACACCGAAAAAATAAGTGTACCTACGTATTTTGTATTCAAATATTATAGTGGAATTAAGTTGTTAAAATGAGATGTTATTAGATTATGAGTAGGTAAGTACTGAACTTATAATCTAATAACATATTGATTTCATCTCATTTTAACAACTTAATTCCACTATAATTTTTGAATACAAAATACGTAGGTACACTTATTTTTTGGGTGTAAAATATTTTAAAAATGTTTATTTATGCCATTAAATTAGAACACATTATGATATTACTGTTGAATAAAAAGTGCGTTTAATTTTTATTATATCGACTTTGTATGGATGAATTATGTGTTTTAATTTTGATGAAGTTTTACCCTAATCTGCAGATGGATAAACATTTTGCATTTCGAAGGTCGTCGGGTCGAAGTAGAACGCTGATAGATTTGACTAACACGTTCTTAGAGCCTAATTTTCTGAAGCGCACAAAAATCAAGACCGCTTTGCAACATCCCTGGATCAAAGAAGGCAATATCAAAATGCCCGAGGATGTGGCCATAGCAAACGAAACGATCACGGCCAGTATAAGCGAACCAATAGTAACAGAGACTTCATTGAGGGTACCTGCATTTCATTACCAGTTGCCGGAATACGAGAAATCAATTAGTACCGACAACGAGTTGTTCACATCAGTCGTAGAGGAAATCGAGGTTGTTGAACCTAAAACATAAAATGGTAATATTTATGACAACTATAGAAATATAATATTTATCACATGGATACATCTAATAGGATTTTTATTTGAAAATCTGCTGATTTTAATATTAATTTGAAGTTTGTATATATTTTCATTGAAAATATGATATTATTATACAAATATGTGTACTTATCAATTAATTAGAGTAAAGTCGAATATAATAAAAGCTATATTTATATCAGCGTTGTAGACTGTTAAAATTATAAGCTTTTGTGATATCTTTATTATTTACGTATCGTCTTATTTAGATAGTTTTATGAAGATATAATATATAGTGTCTATATGTGTTGGAGTATAAAATATTTTTATAATTTACGATCAGTATGTTGATATTTACAACGAATATAGAAATATAATAGTATGAATATATATTATATCTATATAAAATCAAGCTATGACTAATTATTTTATATCTACTGAACATGACATGATATATCCTTAGATCATATACTATGGATGGAGCCACTGCATATTATTTTGAAGCCGATATTAGCGACGAGTCACCGAATTAGGTGATCGATATGCGCATGCGCGAAACAACTCGTTTAATATTAATATTATAACTGTCCCCATCCCAGCCGAGTCACCGAATTAGGTGTTCGATATGCGCATGTGCAACGCAACCTCTCGCATATTTATCAGCTGGTGATTATAATATTAATATTAAACGAGTTGTTTCGCGCATGCGCATATCGATCACCTAATTCGGTGACTCGTCGCTAATATCGGCTTCAACTTTTTGTATTGCTATAATACGCAGTGGCTCCATCCATAGTATATGATCTAAGGATATATCCTAACTTGTGATATATATATATCAAACTATGACTAATTATTTAATATCTACTGAACATGGCATGATAATATATCCAGAGGCGGACTGGGGATAGATCGGCTCAGGGAGACTCGAAAAAGTAGCAGCCCACTGCCCACGTGTTCTTTAATATACGAACTTTTAATAACAATACTCCTGTCTCCTATATAATTCTAGTCTGTATAACTTTTAAAAACAGTGATTCAAGTAATTTAGCTTATCTCTATATATAAACGTATTATTGACAATTGGTAGAAATCAGGGGAGATTTTGAGAACCAAAGCTCTTCAACTTGTTTACTAAGGCCTTGGTAAACAGAAGCTATAATATAGGTACCTATATAAATGGTAAAAACAGAATTAGTTTATATTATCAAAACATTTTTTTTTATTTCTTTATTTAATTAACTTAATAATTTGCACATTAATGAGGAACTTTGCTTCACATATTGTAATATTTCTTGAAAATTTACTTCTTCTAACAACTCTTTCTCTACACTCATCAACATAAATGCCTCTAACTTTTCATTTCCAATTGATGAACGTAATCTACTTTTAATAATTTTTAGCTTACTGAAGCTTCTCTCACAGTTCACCTGAGTAAAGGACAAAGTGAGAATAAATTCATACGCCAAGTATAAATTAGTAAATGCCACCGAATGCATATTAAATTTAAATAATAGCTTAAAACAACAAATTAAACAACCAGAACATTTGCTTTGTTTTCCAGTAGCCGACTTTTTTTTATGAATATTAAACTTGTAGTTTAACCCATTATCAACATCTGTTGAATAAAGTAAACACAAATAAAAAATTATTAAGTGATCAATTAAATATTGCTAACTTCACATACCTAAATTATCCATAGTTGCATTTGGAGCTGTGTCACCTTCTTCATCTTCTTCATCAATTGAATCATCGTCAACTAAATTATTTTCATTATTGTGCATATTATCATATATTTCTTCAGCTCTTTGAGAAAGGGTTCCATTCAATGATGGATATATTTTAGAAAATGCTACAAGTTCCTCTACCAATGTATTGTGAGGAATATTTACTAAATTAGCTATCTTTAGTAAACCATTTTTCGGAAAGTTTTTAAGATTATCATCAAAACTAGATGGATGTAATACCTGTGCATCGGTAATCAAATCTATATTGGATGAAAACCTATCATTTAAACTCATGTTTAATTGATCGATAATTGTCTGGAAAGTTTCTACCCTGTAAAGATCAATCGGTGTTGTTAATACTTCATCCTCAGTTGTCTCATCAAATTGTTTTTTTTTTTTTCTTAAACGACGACCTTCTGGAAGTTTTTCTTCCACTAAAATATGTTCAGGCAATTTTAAGTTAGTAAGTTTTTCATTAGTTTCAATTGCAAATTGTTTTGCTTTTATAATGATATTTTCAAATGATATTTGTTTTATATCATTCTTAGTGTTTTCCACCATTTTCCAAGCTGATAAAAAATCTAACTGTTTTGTTTGTAAGTAATCGGAAGTTGGTCGTACATAACTAAAAATGTCCAAAAAAATATGTGCAGTTAATATAACTTTGAACTCACATAAATTTTTTAGTAATGAAAGTGCTTCAGATGTAGAATTATTATCAAATGAACTATCAGTTGAAATAATATGCAACACACTTATAACTGTAGGAAATAAACAATCTGTTCCTTTGAACACCCATTCTAATGCCTTATGTCTCGACCACCATCTTGTATTAGATTCAGCTACCTTATGTAATTTTCTCAACTTATCTTGTCCAATTTTGCTGTTTTTAGTATTTTCACTTGTCCAGGTATTCATTCTCTTATAAGAACTACCAAAAAACGTTGCCAAACGGTTTAAAAGACCAAACAAGGTGTTTGAATCAATGTTTTTACATATATCAACCATACATAAATTTAAGATATGGCTGTAACACCATATGAAGATGCTATTCTCATTTTGAGATTTTATAAAAGACTGAAGACCAGAAAATTGACCACTCATGTTATTGGCTCCATCAAATGACTCACCAATTATATTACTAAAATTAAGGCCATGTTCAAAAAAACAATCTTTCAGTAATTTATAAAGTTCTTTACCTTTAGAACTCTTTACTTGGACAATTGCAAAGAGCCTTTCTTTTATATCACCATCATTGATATAGCGAACACAAATAGATGCTTGGTCCATAACACCAACATCCTGGGTGCTATCCATTTGTATACTGAAGTTTTGATCACCAAGTTCATTTTTAATTTTATTTCTTATAGCCTTTAAAATTCCTGAAATTACTTTATCAACAGTTGTTTTTGATAAAAATGTAACAAGTGAACCTCGCCCTTTTGAATTCAAATTTTTATTTTTCTCTAACCTCTCCTTCCTTAGTTTACTATTTTTAATAGCTTGACGTAAATGTTCATGCAAAATGGCATCTTTTTTGGATGCAAATTGAACCATTTCCAGAAAATTACCTTTATTTATTAAAATATCATCAAAGTTTGATATTGTTTCATTAGAAGCAGATCCCCTGTACGGTAAATTTTGACGACCAAGGAACTTGATAATTTCAAAAACTTCTTTAAGCACATGAATATTATTTTCTGTTTCTTGCCTTTTAACAGCCATCATATTTCTATTTATAAGATATTCCATGGACATTTCTTTAGAAGCTTGAAAATAGCTTTCTACTGCATTAGTATGTATAATTGATTTTTCATGTCGTTCAATAGCTGAGTACATTGACTTTAAATTTGTACAGCCACTGCTACTTGAAAAATTACTTATTCCAGAACCAAATGCTATACAAATTGAACAAAACATTGACTTTAAATCATTGTCTTCGACTAAAACGGATAACCAAGTTCTATGAATTTTTTTCCCGGAAACGATTCTATAGTACATTTTATTGACATCAAAGTTTATATTTCCGGTGTGGGTAGGTTGAACTGGATGTTTTTTAATAAAATCTAACTTTTGAGTTACAGTTGCATTATAATTTAAATTAAAATTAGAATTTGCGTTAGTACTTTCAAAGCATTGTTCACCAATAATATCAATAGCAACTTCTGAGGTTTTTGAATCATTTAAGTTGACCTAATTTAAGTAAACACAAATTAGTAAGAATTAAGTATTTGATTTAGGTATAGAAAAATTACTTTTCAGTTTAAAAATTATTAAAATAAAAAATCATGCAATTATAATAAAATTACAAACACACATTTATATCAATTTTAAATAGCAATGCATTATCATGCAATGGTTAGTATAATACCTTTGAACATAAACCACATAGACACAGCCCCGTGCAAATTTTAGAGACCACACTAATGTGATGATAACTAGCTAAATAGTTAAATTAAAAAAAAAATACATTATAAAGAAGTTCATAATATAGTTTCTTAGTTTCCATTGATTCTATTCAAATTTCATCACAAAGAAATAATATATATTTTATTTGTTAGTTGTTAGTTGTTACTGTTATTCTTATTACATGTTATTTTTACATACTGTATATTGTTAATACAAACCACTGTACTGGTGTACTGTGTAACTATTAGGCCCAAGCCTGTTTCTTATAACAAATAAATAAATATTATGCACACAGATGCAGCAGAAACATAATATAGCAATATATATGATAATTTGGCAAACCTTAACAACGGTGGAACTGGTGGAAGCAGAACAATTTATATCTTCACTATTTTCAACCTGAGCAGATATATTTTCCTAAAAAAATTTAAAACTATAGTTAATAATAATAGTAATTTATTAAACATTTTGATAATTTGGCAAACCTTAACAACGGTGGAACTGGTGGAAGCAGAACAATTTATATCTTCACTATTTTCAACCTGAGCAGATATATTTTCCTAAAAAAATTTAAAACTATAGTTAATAATAATAGTAATTTATTAAACATTTTGATAATTTGGCAAACCTTAACAACGGTGGAACTGGTGGAAGCAGAACAATTTATATCTTCACTGTTTTCAACCCGAGCAGATATATTTTCCTGAATATATATATTATTATACTATGGTGATAAAAATACATATTTATTTTGAATGTATATGTTTTTAACCAAGAAGGCAACAACACTATTGCATATTATAATTTACACTATAAAAATTTAACAATTGCTATGCATAGGTAATAGGTGGTGTATGAA